TACGGAGCCCAAATACAAATCTTCATGATGCATGTACATTTTTAAAGGAGGCTTCTTCTTCTATTATAAGTTTAAGGGATCATTATAAAGAGCTAGTTGCTTCTGCAAGTGAGCAATGTAATAAGTGGAATATACCAATCCAAAAAACTATTCGTCGCCGTGTGTATTCAAAAAAGATTTTTGGTGATGTTGCCGGTGATAGAAGATTCGATAGTTCTGAAGACAATCTTCGTGTGATGGTTTTTTTACCAGTTATAGATACAGCAATTTTACAACTTCAAGAAAGATTCAAAGAATTATTTTTTAAAGGATTATTTGAGGTTACTAAAAGATTTGAATTTCTGGTACCGCATAATATATTATCATTTAGTGAAGAAGATATCACAAAAGCATCTTAGGACTTTCAAATATTTTACAAACATGATTTAAGTAGTGATATAACAAGGCAAATTCTATCCCTTAAATCTATATTAAAGGATTCATTAAAAAATTTACATTGTATTAAACACCTTTTACAATGTATTTTAGAAAATGATATGGCCTCTATGTACAATGATATTTTTAGTGCATGTATCATATTTATAACATTGCCAGTTACTGTAGCCAATGCAAAAAGATCGTTTTCAAAATTAAAAATCATAAAAAACTACTTAAGAAATTCAATGTCTCAAGATCGCCTGATAAACATAAGTATTTTAAATATTGAACGAGGAAGAACAAAAGAATTGGATATAAACAAAATAATTCAAATATTTGCTACTAAAAAAGCAAGAAAACAAAATTTTCTTAAATAAACCAAAATTGAATTATAATTATTGTTACATACATTTTTTTTTTTTGACATGTTATAACTTATACACATATTTAAATCATAATATGTTTCAAGATTTTTTTGTTTTTGTAATAAACTGATTTATACACGTATGTAACAAGTATAAAGGTAATTAAAAAAAAAAGTATTCAAGCGTTTAAGTTGAAGCTACCTGCCAATTATAGTTCAGCTCTTATTAAGATTAAGTAAGTATTAAATAGGGTTTAACTTTAGTTTTATAATTGGGGACCCTACAAAACTTTGGGTGAGCATTATAGTAAATAGGGGCCTCTAAAATCAGCCTGCACCGGGGCCTCTATAATGGTAGTTGCGGCACTGAAATACAATATATTTCTGAAGATTAAATTATAAATATTCTATAGCGGACTATACACGATTATCTTAAATACTTGTAGTCAAATTTTGTTTATTAAAGAAAAACTAAAAAAAAAAGGAAAAATTACATTTTGACCGTGGTGAATATCTGTATGTGATTGAATCAACAGTCACTGGTATCTGAAAAATATTTGTATTGTATTGTTAATTACGATACAAGGCCCACGAGTAACGATGGCAACAAATTATTACAGACTGACGATCAATCCTAATCGTATCCATCCTAAAAATAATATCATTTTATCCTTATTATTGTCATTATATTGCTTTTATCGATATTTATACTTCTACCATCTACAGATTCGCATGGATGCGTTATAAAACTTTCTGAAGACCTATGATCTCCGCTCGATATTCTTTTTTACTACTATACCCCAACCTCAATGTGCTGGTTTTTTTTGTTTTACATTTTCTTTTTGCAGTAAATATAACGATTCACTTGAATTTATTGACATCCTATAATTATATATTATTACATTACAAGTAATTAAAACCGTCGAATAAAAGTTATCTTTATTAGGACGTCACAACAGGCAACGGTGGTTATCAAATCTGATTTACTGCTTTTATTCCCATAACGTTTATCAAGCCGGATTTTTTCACTTTTCCAGTTCGAAAGTATTTAACGCTATACGGGAGAGGGTCATCAATAAAATGAAGTTTTCTTCATGTAGAACAATATACAAATGCACTTCGTTCTAACGATAACGTTCCTCCATTGCTTTATTGATTCAAAATGTACCATATATTTTCGGGTACATCTTAACATTATCAAATTAATATTACAATCCATGAAAACTATACCGCGCGTGCACATTATTTGTCAGTTATCATTATATATATATATAATATTATATTTACCTGTAATACTGTTTATAAGAGTCCAAATATAGGCAATATTTGACAAACAATATGTTCATACCGAAATTGATTGCAAACGCGACGATATCGGTGAATTCACAAGTCATAATCAAACCAATGGGTAATTTTTTTGTTCTATTATTCGTCAAATTCTAAGTACAACCTCTTTTGGTACGTTTCGATTACTCGTGCGCCATTTAAAGACCCTATTGTGCTCAGCCACCGATCGTGAGAATGTTCATTTGCTCTCCAAGTGTCTTTTCCCTGTGCTGCGCCGTAGGGGTAACAATAAGATAAACTCGACAATACAACGTATTTTCCGGTTCGAAAAACAAATTGACTTTCTTATAGTATGAACATTACCAACTGTGCGCTTAACCGCAACTATACTAGATTATGTTTTACTCAATAGTTATGTATTATAATTCAAAACTCTTATGGATACAAAAAGAGCTCTTTATGTTTGTAATTCGATTTGTAAATCACGACCTGTAGAGCAATTTACAAAATATATGTTTTGTGAGGTATGGTGGAATAATTTTAAACAAAATTAAAATATGTGTTTGAAAAGTACTTAGCAACCGTTAAGTTTTTTCAGAAAATATTTGATATATTAATATTTTTTTTTTAGCCAAATATAATACACATTAAAAATATTGTATAATAATTGTGTAATTATAATTTAGGTGAATAGTATAAAACTTACTGCTTTTCTCAAAACCGGCACTTATGTAGTATGTTCACCATAAGTTTTACAAATATATCTGTTTGCCTAAAAAAACCACAATTTTTTTGTACATTTTCTCCATTCATATTGTTTACATTATTATTGTAAAGGTATATTAGTCTGTAACTATACTCTGCGCTTTATGTGTCGGCTTTGATGGTATTATAATTGAAACGTAGAGGCTAGACATTGAAGTGGTTTAAATTTAATAAATTAAAATAATTTAATTACATTTGTCTGACATTAAGTTTTCACTTAGCACGCTTGCTCAAGAGTTCAAAATTCAAATTGAACACTTAAGGCGGTGTTCACTGTACACATTCAATCTAAATAATTTGGCGTCTATAGCTGGTAAAAAATATTAATAATAGTTTTTGATGGGTACAGGCCAAATGAGTTAGTAATGGCCCCATGACGTTCCAGATGACATACGATTATGCGCTGTATGATATCATACAACTGTTGTACTCAATACTATTATGATTATATTTCTCAAATCTCGGTCGTTATTTTAGCAACCAGCGCAGTAGTTGTTACTTGTTCCTTATAAAAGTACTACAAAATGTATTATCGTTTGTATACTTCATTACAATATCTATAATATATTTAATATATTTTGATAATCACATAATGTGTTTATTAGTTTCCCGTTTAAACAGTATTTCTTTTTTGACAAATTTACTTTTAATTTCCACTAACTATATCTAAACTTTTAACAATCTTTTTTAACCGAATTCGAATCTGGCCTTAGATTTTTTTAATGTCCTCCAACATTTAAACATGTTACAAAACAAAAAACAGTTTTTGCAAATATTGGGGTTAAGTTGAAAAATTAAAAAATGTGTATTTTTCAAAATATTTTCTCGATTTTGAAGGGGAAAGGGTGAACTTTTAAAATGCTTGCCCCGATAAAGTACCTTTCAGATACGATTTCTATAGACTATCGCGTCGTCACAGTTCGGAGTTGTTGTATGCAACGGAAACGAAATAGAAATAAAAAAAACCAACTAAAATTAAATTATTCAATAGGAGCTTAGTCGACGTCTACAGTTAATCGATAAGCGGGTGACAAACATTCACATTTACAACTCTTTTACGCCAGCCTGTCATACTCACACGCCAGAAAACGTTTTTCTCGCCGGGAGCCAATTGTGTTTATGACAGCGTTTACCTTTGTTGTCTGTCGCTCCCTTTTATAAAATCACCAACAGCAAAATCAAAAGTATAAGATTTTGCTGGTACAAAAAATATCGGCCTGCGTTTCTAAAATTAAATTTGGTTGCTGATGTTCTATACCTGATATTTTTTAGACTCAAGAGTGCACGTTTTGACTTCATAAAAGCATTAGTGATAAAATAACGTTTACAAAGAAGTAAGGATCTCCAATCTCTGTTAAAAAAAATCATTAAAATTTTTGTTGGTCATCATTTTGAGTATTTACAATTTGTCATTTTTTTCAAAAACGAGCTCTACGAGTTGTATTCAAACAGTAATATATATTGAGACGAAAAAGAATGAGCAGACATATTTTTCAGGTCAAGCTTATTACTGTGTCTTTTATGCCCAGTTAGTTTGCTAATTATTTCGTAGATCATTTTACCATTATATTGATTTTATTTGACTTATCAAAGCTACAAAATATAACACTCAATTTATTAATTGATTTGCGCTTGAGGCTCAGCGCCTGTTAACTAATTTCAGATTTTGACCACTTATATTGAGCCCGTACTATATTTTAGGTCCAAGTGGTAAATATTTCTGCTCCCCGATCTTATTTGTTTTCCAGCACAATGTAATTTATGTAAGTCTAATTTATTTGTTAACACTCTGATGTATTATGTTAACGGGTCTGACGACTTAAGTCATGTGTATTATTGCAAAATGCAAACGATAGAATGTTAATAAAATCGAAATAATTTTTTTGGACCGGTCAAAAACGCTGACCCGCCGGGCGTCGTCAGTGCAAAACTAGCAACATACATATTACACACTTGGTGCTCGCCCGGCTCGGCCGTTTGTAACGGACACAGGGTAAGCGTTAAGTAACATCTGTAATAAGTAGGTTATTGGTTGTGGAATACGACTACTATCGATGTGGACGACTATCGATAGTGGCCGCGTCGCATGCACGGTGCACACGCACAGTGCGATTGTGGAGGGGAACGTCCAAACGGAGCGCCGACACCGTTCAGTGTACAACGAGATACGGGTGCGGCTGTTCGTGGTGCGCGGTGTGGCCAGTGTTAACGCGTGTGTTGAGTGTTTGTGTGTGCAAGTGGTAAATCGCTAGTAGGTGGTGTGGTGCGCGCCGCGTTAATATTATTATAATTTTTTTTTTTTTTATAAATCATATTATTGTACCATAGTATATCAGTGTACCCAGTGCATGCGTGCGTGTGATGCGTGCCCGGAAAGCGTCTACCGCAGTCAGCACCAGCAGCAGTCGTCGTACCGTAGTGGTCGCGTTAACGCCGTCGTAGCGCCGCCGCAACAATGACGTCGTGCAAACGGCCGTGCTGCAGCCGCGGTGTCGCCAACAAGCGTCCGTGCTGCCGAGACGACGGCGGCGGCCCATCGTCGTCGTCCGGGGCGGCCGGCGGCTCCGGCACGCGGCAGTCGGCCGACTCGCTGTTGGACATCACCGCCCGGATAGTGGCCGAGAACATACCGTTCCAGCGGATCGAGGAACGGTACAGCCGCATACCGGAACCGGTGCAGCGACAGATCATCTACTGGTCGTTTCCGCGCAACGAACGTGACATATTCATGTATTCGTCGCTGATACGCGTGTCCCAGGCCAGTTCGTCGTCGCAGACCTCGGAACAGAGTAACCTGTCGTTCTACAAGGGCCTCAAACTCCTAGAGAGCGGTTGCGTCGATCGTGTGCTCCAAGTCGGTAAGTCACAATATCTTCTTAGTACCGCCGGCATGGCTTTCCATACGCCAAAGGATTTTCATAGATATAATTTTATCCGTACGGTCCAATTGTCGGGTGGATTGTATCTGTTAAAATTGTGTGAACTTGGGAAAAAAATCATTCAGCTGCCGCTGAGTGGGTCCTAAATGGTCCCCAAAATGGTCAAGGAACCAAAACGTAGGCAGTTTCACAGCTTCGATCCAAACTGAGAAGGAATTTTGTGAAGGATTATTTGTTCTAGGGCCCGGCTCATCTAAACGTGATAGGGTATTTCGAAAGAGAACGACAATTGTTTGTGACGATGGATTAACCATGTATAGGATTCCCCGGTACGGTGTACTATCAGATTTTCAACGGCCAAAACCGGTGTTTAAATAAAAACCCTTTCGTATGTTAACTTATTCGTTCGGTAATGATGTCGATTGAAGATGTGTCATAATTGAGGGCGCAAAGGGATGTATACGTACTGCCACCGCCGTTACCGCCACAGTGTTATCGATCTAATAGCTGGCGGAATTATGTAAAATGCATGCGGGGCACGTCCGGGTAAATTCAGACCCCGAGGAAGCTCATTTCAAATTCTTATTAGCCCGGCACCCTCGGTTCGTATGGATTTTCCTAAAAAAAAAAGCAAATGTAAGCCAACGGGGGCGCTTGGTAAAGACGGTAAAGGCTCTGGCGTTGGGGAGCGAAAAATAAATAAATTAAATATAACAAAATAGAAAAAAAACATCATGTCCGCCAGGTGTTTCGGGCGGCCATGCATTATTCAGTAACACTATGGAAAACATCGGCCAGAGAAGGTGACGGCGGCTCTAAGAATACTAATAATGATAATTATAATAATTGTTATCGGAAAAGGTGGGGTGTCTCCCGGCGGAATGAAATTAAAATAAATTAGAATAACTCATATTATCTCAATGTATATTTATTAGCATCGACGCGCAGCTGCAAAGTATTTGTTTTACGATAATGGCATTTTCGCCAAGGTCCCCATATATTTCATATATTTTTACCGATATAAATTCAAAAGACGCGGAATGTTATTCTTCTTCCTAAAAACCCTTTCTAGAAGTCTTTGCCTCAAAAACCAAGTAAAAACGTCCCTAATATCTGCTGTATTAGGGTACATTTCGAAATAAAGGGTAGGATCATTTCAATATAAAGTAAAATCATTTTGCCTTATTGTCTGACAGTCATGCGGCATGCCTCAATCAAACCACGATTGTGCAGAATTCCATGGGCACATGGACAAATTCAATACAATTTCAATTTTCATATTAGTTACTTGTATTATTAGCAAATACATTATAAAACTCTGTGCACATACTAAAGATCCACGTTAAAATCTTTTTAAAATAATTGCGAAGACCATGTTTAAACTAGTTCTATAGGTAATGCACAAAATGCGAGTTTTCAATTTTACGGTTACAAAGTCAAATTTCTATAATATTACCTCAGCTACTACTAAGCTAGGTATTTAAGGCTATACACGCTTATGTTCCCAATACAAGACACTAGTGAACTACTCATTTCCGAAGACCATTTTTGACCAGTTTTAACGTGGAAATTTTTCGTTAACCGTTGTACGGCAATAAAATCGAAATTTTCATGAACAAAAAATGTAATCTTATTTCCTTGATCGTTGTAGTATACTGCTGTCGCTGAAAGATGAAACCAGTTTTCTTTTTTCAAGCGCAGTACATATAATAACAATAATATATCTTTATACATCTATCAATGGTCCTACATAATATAGCGTTATTCTTGTTTTATATTTTATTGAAAATATATTCAGGTCCCCCAGGGGTATTATCGGACGCGGTTTGACAATCGGCTAGCCTGCACCTGGACCGGAAACGAATAACGTTATTTACACTGTAATATATTATTTATTTTAAAAGATATTTGATATTCACACGAGCCGTATATTGTAGCAACGTACTTACCTCGTGCATATTTTAAGTGGAAAAACTCGCATTTACGCAAAAAGAAGAAAACTGCCAAAAACGTTTCTAGTCGGACGAGAAAATAAAATTCGCTTTCGCCACTCGCATTATATTATTACCAATTACTATTATTTTAGACCCTAAACCTGCCTGTTATTTCACTGGACTACGTTTGGTCACGGCGCTGATGCGCTGTTCAAACCGAGTAGTTACGTTACTGTGGAATTATTTTTTCGCTCTTACAATACAATGATAATCTAGTTAGAATTTTACCGGAACGTCTGTTATACTCCCAAAGGGGGTAACTATCGTCAAGCTCCACTACAGAAGTGCCGGGGCCTCTACGCCCTTGTACCGGCCAAACCTGAACAAATATTTTTTCCCGTATCTGAGTGGAGGGTCCGTCTCTCTCTTTTATGAAATAGGTTCTCGTCGGTTATTATGTTAACGGCAGTAAACAAACAACCGCCCGCATTTCTACTGCGGGTCGCACATAATATATATATCTGATGAAAACGTACACACCTAAAGGTTATTTAACTATATGCCCCATTCGACGGACCAACCGGAACCGCCGTTGTGCCCTCCGAAAAAGCTCGTGTCCCGCAGATAATTACATTATGTTTTCAAAAGTATTTTTTTTATTTTAAAATTATTTTATTACTGTGCCTTGTACCCGCGGTGGCAGTTTTATTATTAGAGATCAAATCGACGTCCGCGCGTGACTTGGCTTTAAGTCTTGGCTGCGATCGGTATACACACACACTCGTCGTGGTCGTCGGTTTGCGTTGGTATTATAACAAACAAAAAAAACCAAACCACACGTGCGAGATATATCTATTCCATGATTTTTTTGTTTTTTAATGTATTCAAATTATAATATTCCCACTTATCAAACCGGTAACACAACTGTAGTCTACGAGACATTATTGATTTATCGAGAGTAATCAATAAAATAAACACTAGTACTTTCATCGAAAAATATCAATTTGTGATTTGGCCCGCGAACCTTTCTGTATTAAAATACTTAAATGCCTGGTCCTATAATCATAGTTTAAGTTATAACTCACATTATAGTTATAACTTGTATCGTGTTCGGTGTTCAAAATAGTAAAATCTATTTAAAATTTGAGAAAGTGAATTTTTTCTATTTGTTACATCGTTATATTTATTAATCACTGGCAAATTTGTACAACGTGTGGGGTGTATAAATAGCTCCCCCCCCTCCTCCCCAATATCTGTCCTGAGCTATAGTATTAGTATTAATATTTCATATTGGATATAATTTATTTTTGCCCATTTGGGCAGCTTGTGAGGGTGGGTTAGTCCGTACCTGTGGTACAGTGTTATATTATTATTTCGTACAAGATGGCGGCAGAGCAGCATCGTCAGCACAAGTATAAAGAGTAGGACAAAGAAACGGTTCGTGTGTGCTGCTGCTGTTATTCTACAGGGATGTTTTATATTACACCAAGAACCCGTACTACCATCGTATACCGTGTTATGAAAGCAGCTGAACGACCGGCCAGAATTATTATTATTATTATTATTACGGCTGTAGAAATTCACGTCGCGTGTACCATTTTTAAGGGAGCTGTTTTCCATTCGTTGTCATAGTTGTTATGTGCGAAAAGAATTGAGTTGAGTCTAGGTTTTAATCTTATCAGTTTGCCCAAACTAGCTGTCTCTGTCCCATAGTATATGTAGTGTTTGATTCATCATTGTGCGTCATTGTCCGTCGACGATATGCGCTGTCCCGTTTTATTATCAAAAGTCTATGAGAAAAATACAGTTTTTGCGTCTCAGTGCAAGAAAAGCTTGGACTTAGTTTGTAAACGTTCACATTCCTTCTCCCACTAAAATGAAAAAATTAGACTTCCTATCTTTCTTGGATCGTGAATAATGTTGAACGATTGTCCCATAGCAACATTTTTAAAAAACCGTTTATTTTTTGTCCTTGCCAGCCCTCTTAAGTATAGGAAGCCCGTATTGTTTTCATGTTACGCTGTATCGTCGGCTATTATTATTTTGCTTAATATGTTTAATGTCGAGATTCGTCCGGATATTACGTTCGACTTGGGTCTGGCCGGATGGACGATTAATAAAATGGCGCAATAAAAGGTAAAATGAATTATGAAACTGTCCTATGCGGGAAATCGAATGGGAAACTCCGTCGATAGAAAAAAAAAAACGCCGAGTAATTGTATTTTCTCGATTGATTGAAATCATAATGATATTAATGGAATACATGAGCTCTGGGAATGTGCCTCCGATTTTGAAAATTTCCGTATTTCCTTTGAGCCTATATTAACCTAAAATATAGTATCATTTGGTAATATGATAAATTATATATAGTATAATAATATAACCTACCCTTTAATAACATACAAGCTCGCAAATTGGTTTAAACCTGTTACCGACTAATACTATTTTTATACTGCTCGATAAAATTATCTGAGGAGTTTTGAGCTATAGCTCGACCACTTTTTGAAGTGAACATTTAAAAAAAAATTACCATTATTACTCTCTTTTATGTTAGTGTATTTTTATGCAGATCGCGTTAGACGAGCCTAAAAACATTAATTTTATTATTCTTAAAAGCCTGAATTACTATTCAAAAACAATATTATTATGGTAGTGTAGTTTTTCTCGTTTGATCGGTTAAAATGTCAACTGTAGTCTGAGGACTGACAAACGAGTAAAGCGTGTCTGATGGCAATGCCAAATTTTACATTTCGGCAGCATATCATTATGAAAAAAGAATTGCGATCATTCGATTAGTGTGGACAAGACTTTCTGGGCGACTGAGTTGCTCTAATCGCAGTTTCGGTCGGTATGTCGCCACGCGAAAATTACACACGGCCGACATAATTTATTTATTCTTTTTAAGTCTCCCGCTATCCACGTAGAAGGCCTTTGTCTCTATATCTTGGCGAACCCCCCACGTCAAGTCCCAGCCATTAACTATAATAATACAATAATAATAACAAACCCGAAAACGCCGACAGTCGTGTGGTGCATAGTATACTT